CGACCCCGCAGCAGCACGGGTCCGTGGCAGCGGCCAGGCAGGGCTGCAGCGTGGAGCCCTTGTAGCGGCTGCACGGGGCCCGGGTGGAGGCACTGCACCCACTGCGTCACGCCAAAGGTGCGCTGCAGCCACCAGCAGCACAGGGATCTTCCCCAGGTCCCTCATGTACCACACGCATTACAAGCACATCGCTCAGTGCACACAGGTCCCCAGCGCCCATACCGGCACCTGCACAATTATACCTGTGCCATTTGCACAGCCTGTCCCCAGGGCCCTGGCTGGACTCACAATGTCCCTGCAGGCAGCAGCAAGGCGCAGTCTGTGCAAAAGCAGGCACGATGAGTTCTAAAAGAGTGCTGTAACTTCCCCAAAGCAGCCAGACATACAAAGTGGGGGCAGTTGCTTCTGCAAATAGTTTAACATATATTTATAAATAGCATCCTGCTTTTTGAATAGAATATTGGGCACGATACGTAATGCCGTCATTGGTTATGGCAATAAAGGAATTTGGAGAAGTTCCATAAAGCAATGAGACAGTCGTGGGCTGCACTCCTGTCTGGGATGCAGGAGGACAAGCTGGGGAGTGTTGCTTGCACGAGTGACTGGACTCTGCCCCACCTCCTAGGTCAGGGCAGACCCTCAGGAACTTCGCCACGCACAGGGTGAGCAGTGCATTGTCTGTAGGAACTCTTTTCTGCAGGATGAATCATTTCAGTACAAAGAAGCCAACAGGCAGGGGCAGCTGTGAATGTCACAGACCCAGCAGCACACCCACACCTGGAGTTAGATTTTGGCTCCAGAGGGGCCGGCAACCAGAGCATGGTCACTGCGGGGGGGACAGGAGCAGATCTGGGAGTGGGCTGCATGAGCTCCTTCAGTGCTGGTGCCACCTCGTGTCACAAACCCTACCTCCCGTATCTTCTGGTGCCCAGGCACCTTTACAGAAGCCCGGGTCTCGGGATGAGGACCAGCTTGCTAACAAGGCAGAGAGCTGATGTTTATCAGCCTGGCTGCCTCTGAGAACAAGGAGAGATGCAGAAGCAATGGTGGAGTCCTTGCTGTCCTGCAAGCACAGATGGTTCCTATGCTCCCTGCCACGCAGACTGCAAGGGATCACAGTCCTCCAGCACCTCCCAGCTCACAGCAGACATCCCACTCAGAAGCTGAGCAATACCAGGGAGACATTTTTGTTGGGGAAAAACAAACAAACAAACCATTGCATGACATAGGCAAAGCAGAGACGCTTAACGCCTTCTTTGCCTCTGTCTTCAATGCCGATGATGGGCTTCAGGACCCAGGGTGCCCTGAGCTGTAGGACCGGGACTGTGGGGATGACAAACTCCCAACTGACCCTGAACGTGTGCGGGATTTGCTACTCCACCTGGATCCCTACAAGTCCATGGGTCCAGATGGGATTCATCCCTGGGTGCTGAAAGAGCTGGCAGACGTCATCGTGGAACCTCTCTCAATTATTTTTCAACGATCCTGGGAATCTGGAGAGGTCCTGGTAGACTGGAAGCTGGCAAATGTTGTGCCGATTTTCAAGAAGGGTCAGAAAGAAGACCCTAGCAATTACAGGCCTGTCAGTCTCACGTCAGTGCCTGGTAAAATCATGGAGAAGATGGTTCTCGAACTTATTGAGGCGCACCTGGGGGACAAAGCAGTCATTGGTCCCAGCCAGCATGGGTTTGTGAAGGGTAGGTCCTGCCTAACTAACCTGATTTCCTTTTATGATAAGATCACCCATATGGTGGACCAAGGGAAACCAGCTGATGTGATTTTTTTGGACTTCAGCAAGGCTTTTGACACGGTTTCCCATAGGATCCTACTGGACAAAATGTCCACCATACAGCTAAATAAAAACATCATACGATGGGTGAGCAATTGGCTAACGGGCAGGGCCCAAAGGGTTATGGTGAATGGGCCTGTATCAGGCTGGCGGGCGGTCACCTAGTGGGGTCCCTCAAGGCTCCATTTTAGGGCCGGTACTTTTCAATATTTTTATAAACTGATCTGGATGTAGGAATAGAAGGTATTTTGAGTAAGTTTGCTGATGACAGCAAACTTGGAGGAGTTGTGGACTCTGCTTGAGGGTGGAAAGGCCTTGCAGAGGGATCTGGATAGGTTGGAGAGCTGGGCAATCACCAACCGCATGAAGTTCAATAAGAGCAAGTGCCGGGTCCTGCACCTGGGACGGGGAAACCCTGGCTGCACGTACAGACTGGGCGATGAGACGCTGGAGAGCAGCCTAGAAGAGAGGGATCTGGGGGTGGTGGTAGACAGCAAGCATGAATATGAGCCAGCAGTGTGCCCTGGCAGCCAGGAGGGCCAACCGTGTCCTGGGGTGCATCAAGCACGGCATCGCTAGTAGGTCGAGGGAGGTGATTGTCCCGCTCTACTCTGCGCTGGTGAGGCCTCACCTGCGAGTACTGTGTGCAGTTCTGGGCACCACAGTATAAAAAGGACATGAAACTGTTGGAGAGTGTCCAGAGGATAGGCTACGAAGATGGTGAAAGGCCTGGAGGGGAAGACGTACAAGGAACGGCTGAGGGCACTGGGCCTGTTCAGCCTGGAGAAGAGGAGGCTGAGGGGAGACCTCATCGCAGTCTACAACTTCCTCGTAAGGGGGTGTCGAGAGGCAGGAGACCTTTTCTCCATTAACACCAGTGACAGGACCCGCGGAGAACAGGGGTTAAGCTGAGGCAGGGGAAACTTCGGCTTGACATCAGGAGGGGGTTCTTCACAGAGAGGGTGGTTGCACACTGGAACAGGCTCCCCAGGGAAGTGGTCACTGCACCGAGCCTGACTGAATTTAAGAAGAGATTGGACTGTGCACTTAGTCACATGGTCTGAACTTTTGGGTAGACCTGTGCGGTGTCAAGAGTTGGACTTGACGATCCTTAAGGGTCCCTTCCAACTCAGGATATTCTATGATTCTATGATTCTATGGCACCTGTGGCAGTGCGCACAGCTCTTATCTGCTTGCACGGTGCACTGCAGTGGCTGCCATGGGACCATTCCTGTGCTTCCCCAGGCTGCCCTTGGGGACTGGGCTGGCAGCAGGGACTGCAGACTGGCTGGCTCTGAAAGTGCTGAGCCTCCGTGGTGCCTGTCACTGAGAGTAAGATTGACCAGAGTGTGCAGAAATACGGTGTGCAGAACCACAGCGTGGCTGAGGCTGCTTGGAGGAACCCCTGGGTGCTGCCACTCACCCCCTGCCCCAGCAGGGCCCCGTGGAGCCGCTCGCCCAGCCCCACGTCCCAGCGGCTGCTGGAGCCCCCGCGGAGGAGCCCCCAGCCCCTCTCTGGGCACCCGCCCGGCACAGCAGTGCTGCCTGGGGCCCAGAGGGCACCTCCTGGGCTCCAGGCTGGGCCCGGGGCCTCTGCTCCTGGCCCTGGGCACCCCTGGCGAGAGCCTCCCCTGGAGCCAGGCCCAGCTCTCGCAGCCTCTCCTCACGGCAGAGGTGCTCCAGGCCCTCCAGACCTCGGGGCCCTGCTGGGCTCTCGCCACCAGCTCCAGGCCTCTCTGGCCCCGGGAGCACCCCAGGGGCGGCCTCCCCAGCGCGGAGGAGAGCAGAGGGGTCAGGATCCTCTGTCACTGGTTTTCCTGGTCCCAACCAAGACCAGATCCCTGAAGTGGTAAGGGTTGTGCACACACTAACTGGAGTCCAAGCTGTAAGGAGACAAGTAGCAAACAAGCACAGGAAACAAGATTATGTTATGGCTTCTCCCAACTCATCCTGGTGGTCAGTTTGTCTGTGCTACATGGATCTGGTAGATACCGTTCTCCTCAGGTTCCCCCTCACGGCCAACACCTACCCAAACATCCAGGCAGTGTCAAACCCCACTGCCTGCAGTGCTAGGGCTAAGCAGGTTTACTAAGAGCTCTGCAAACAGCCTGATCTGGACACACCACACTGCTGGGACTCATGCTATGATGTCTCTGACAGGCACCCTGAGGGTGAAGCCAAACTGAATTGTCCAGGGCATTCCTTGTATTGGTGTAATAGAAAACAATAGCTTATGTGCCACAGGTGCTGGGAAAATAAATAAATAAATAAATAATAAATAAATAAGTGTTCTCAAATAAAAGAGAAGGCTTATTACATAAAAGCAATAAATGCCATGCCTTTATTAATAGGAAACCAATATTAGCAGAAACTGATCATAAAAGAAGGCATTTGCAAGAGCAATGGAGGAAAACGCTCCATGTGTGATCTACAAACCTAGTAGATACTCGGGCTGAAGCTGGGGTTTGCAGACACTGTGTCTAGACCATCTGCAACAACTCTAAATCCGGGACAAGGTCTGATGCCTGCCAAGCAGCTAATGGGGGCTTCAGTTCAGCTCTGGGGAGATGTAGTTCAGCGCTGTCTCTCTCCAGAACCTGCACTCCTCCTGTACCCTCCCTAAAGCAGCTTGGATACTACTGCTCACCACTTTCAATCAGCACATAGAATCATAGCATCATGAAGGTTGGAAAAGACCACACTCACTGACAAAGAGTCCCTCCCCAGCTTTCCTGCAGCCCCCTTTAGGTATTGGAAGGCCACTGTAAGGTCTCCCTGGAGCCGTCCCTTCTCCAGGCTGAACAAGTCCAACTCCCTCAGCCTGTCTTTGTAGGAAAGGTGCTCCAGCACCTTGATCATCTTTGTGGCCCTCCTCTGGACTTGCTGTAATACATCCATGTCTTTCTTGTGCTGGGAGCCCCTGAGCTGAACACAGTACTGCAGGTGGGGTCTGAGGAGAGCAGAGCAGAGGGGGAGAATCACCTCCCTCACTCTGCTGCCATACTTCTTTTGATATGGCCAGGATACTGTTGGCTCTCTGGGCTGCAAGTGCAGCTCCATGCAGTACTTGCATTTATTTATTTATTTATTTATTTATTTATTGCAAATAAATGCAGTACTTGCATTTATTTCAGTGTTTTATCTTTGGGAGACTTCCATTTCTGTGAATTTTAATAAGAAAGCAATTCCTGTAATAAAGTCCATTAGGCAGTTGTGATTAGAACAATTTATTACACACCTTGTCCCTTGACTCCAGAGCAGACAGCTGAGATAAGGATCTCACCACCACACTACAGCAAAAGCTGCCTGCCTTCAGCTTGTTGAGGATTCCCCACAAGTGACATTTCTGTCACAAGTGACATTTCTGTCACTTGTGCTCGACATTTGTGGTTGCCAAGAGGGAGGATTTGGGTGGGCTTCAAGTCCCACTGAGGTATTCATTACTTTCTCATAGTGACATCTTGCTGCTATTCTTGCAGAAAATGAACTGAGGAGCAGAGAAACACTTTCATGAACTTCTCTTTTACCTGTCGCATCCGCACCCCATACACGATGGGGTTCAGCAGGGGAGGGAAGAGAATGTACAGGTTGGCCAGCAGAATGTGGACATGGTGCGGGATTTCCTGACCAAAGCGGTGCGTTAAAACAGTGAAAAAAACAGGAATATAGAAAAGAAATATAACACAAACATGAGAGACACAGGTATTGAAAGCCTTGCAGCGGGCAGTTCTGGAAGGGAGTCTGAATAATGCCTGAAGAATTAGGATGTAGGAGACAGCAATGAGCACAACGTCTAGCACTGCTGCTGCGACAGGCATGGCAAGGCCATACACAATATTGACGGAGATGTCGGCGCAGGCCAGCCGGGCGATGCCCATGTGCTCGCAGTAGGTGTGCGGGATGACGTTGTGCCCGCAGAAGGGCAGCCGCTTCAGCAGGAATACACACGGGAAAATGATGCAAAAACTTCTCAACAGAATCACCAGCCCTGTTTTGGCAATAGCTGACTGTGTCAGCACAGCCGCGTAGCTCAGGGGGTAGCAGATGGCCACAAACCGGTCAAAGGCCATGGCCATCAGGATCATAGACTCTGCTGAGGAAGCGAAGTGCAGGAAGAACACCTGGGTCAGGCAGGCGCCGAAGGAGATCTCCCCCGCACTGAACCAGAACAGAGCCAGCATCTTGGGCACAGTTGTGGTTGACAGCATCAGGTCAGTGACAGCCAGCATGGACAAGAGGAGGTACATGGGCTGGTGGAGGCTTCGTTCTGTGCTCACAACAAAGAGCAGGGCACCGTTTCCCAGCAGGGCAGCCAGATACATAGAGCAGAAGGGGATCGAGATCCAGATGTGTGACTTCTCCATGCCCGGGATGCCAGCCAAGATGAAAGTTGCTGGAGTCGAGCTGGTAAGGTTGAATGGTGGCATAAGCTGCACCTGAAAGCAAAGACAGAAAGCACTGCAGAATGTTATTTCACATGCTCAAGCTCTTTCACCACTATCAAATGCCAGCATCACCTCTGCTGATCAGCTAACAGCCACAGCTGCAGGTATCAACCCCAATTATGAAGACCTGTGGTCTGCAATGTATTGCAGCACGTACTTACACTCATGTACTCCTACTATGTGTAAGTGGCAGTGTCCAGATTTTCTCTTCTCTTGATTTTAAGATGATACAAGAGTATTTTTCTTCCAAGTAGACCAGGCTGAATGGAGACAGAATCAATCCATGCTGCACAAATACCTTAAACTGATGGACTATCAGTCTGGAGTAGACGGAGTAAGTCATGCAACACAAGAGGAAGGTCAAGTGCTTGCAGGGGGCATCGGGACCTGCAGAGGGGATAATTGGGAGCTTCAGGTACATGGACTCACATGAGTTTAAGACAAAATTAGCTCTAGGATTGAAGTTGGCTGCTCGTTCTCCATCCTCATCTGCAGACTTCTGTCTCCCTTTCCCTTTGTTTTTAGGACTGAAAAGCTTCTGGTTTGGCTCACTCTGCACCTCACTGTCAGTGCAAGTCGAGTGGAAATAAAATCTAACTGGGCACTGGGAAAGACTCTTTTGTCAGGGGAAGACCCTGAGCTGGAGTTCCCCCAGCAGCCAAGGACAGGGCTGCACCACTGCCCTGCAGCGGGTGCGAAGGAGGCTGGGTCACCCCCAGACTCGCACAAGTTAGACTGAGATGCCTCTGTTTTTCAGCAGCTTCTGCAATAGTCAGTCAGCTCTTAAATACCAAAACTCAAAATAGGAATGCCCGTACTGCAACAAGATGAAGTATTGCAAGTACTTCAAACCTACTTGCAAAACTTCAAACCTGTGAGGTTATTGCATACCGAAATACTGACTCCATGGATGAGAATGCAATTGCATTTTTAAAGACGGAGTTGGTTCCCAGCTTATGCTCAGAGAGGCAGACAGTTTCACGTCCAAGGAACCTGCTCCATAGAAACAACATAACAGTGGACAGTCTTTAAAAAACAGTGAAGATAAAAAACTATCTAATGCTGTAAACAAAGTAAAGCAATTCATTTTAAATATTGTATGAAATAAAAATAGATGTGGCATGTTACCAGATGGAAAACACTACTCATGCAAATAGCATGTATACTCTGTGCTGTTATACCAAAAGCCAGTCAGCTCTTGCCAAGCTCCGGATGTTGAACTGCAGACAAACAAGGGCCCGTTGCATCTGCAGGTTGGGGTCACAGCGCAGCCAGCAGCTCTGTGCCAGAGGGACCTCTCAGCAGCAGACCCTTCCTAGCCTAGTCACCGCCGTGGAGCTGCACTAACACAAGTACAGCACAAAGGATGTCTTCTACAACTACCTCCAGGCAGTTCCTTGGAACCTTTTATTCCTAAAAATCTTTATAGCTTAACTAGATGCAGTAACTTGAAATATTGACATTCCCACAGAGCTGCCCGAGGATTACAAAGAGGTCTGATCTCTTGTCATTGTGGCAGAAGCAAGGGCTCTGATCAAGGACACAGCTGTCCTAGTTTCATCTGGGATAGAGTTAATTTTCTTCAGCGTCACTGTTCGTACTGTGTTTGGGATTTAGGATGAGAACAGTGCTGATAACACACCAATGCTTCAGTTGTTGCTGAGCAGTGCTTAAGCAGAGCCAAGCACTTCTGTGCTTCTCACAGTGCCTGGCAGTGAGGGGGCTGGCGGTGCACAGGGAGCTGGAAGAGGACAGAACTAGGAAAGCTGAGCCCAGCTGGCCAAAGGGATATCCCATGCCACGTGGCATCACATGGCAATATAAAACTGTGGGGTTGGCCGAGGTGGGGGGCAGCCACTGGTCGTGGTTCAGTGGGTGCTGAGCAATTGCATTGTGCATCGCGTGCTTTGCTTATTCTTGGCTTTATTATTTCCTTCTCCTTCTTATTAAACCGTTCATAACTCAACCCACGAGTTGTCGCACTTTGACCGTTTTTTGAGTCCCTCCCCCAGCCACTGCAGAGGAGAGCAGACAGCTACAAGGTGATGAGCTGCCTGCCCAGTTACACCACAGCAGCAGCTTCACAGAGCTGCAGAGGGGCAGATGGAGCCCCCACCCCAGGGGCAGCCTTCACAATACGACAGCCTTTGGAAGGGAGCCGGGGACACAGAACTGGGCAGGGGAAAACAGTCTGCTAGTGACTTGCTGTCCCCAGGTGAGAGAACGAAGATAACACAAGTGTTTTCCCTCCTGGCCTGAGCACATCCACAGCTCTCCCGTGGCAGGGAGACGCTCAGTGCTGCCCCAGGTCGGTGCACACTGTGGTGCCCCACGGACATCACCCTGCATGGGCTTGCTCCTGCCCTGCCACCTCAGCCCTTGCTCCCAAAATTGTGTTATCTCAGCTGAAGAGCAGCCGATCTGGCTGTCCAAATGCTGGAAGGTGCTTCACCAGCTTATTGCACACTGGGGATGTGGCTCCTCTGTCCCAGCGATCCCCCGGCCCCAAGCATGCAGCGCAAGCAGCTCACCAGATCCTCGACCCCGCAGCAGCACGGGTCCGTGGCAGCGGCCAGGCAGGGCTGCAGCGTGGAGCCCTTGTAGCGGCTGCACGGGGCCCGGGTGGAGGCACTGCACCCACTGCGTCACGCCAAAGGTGCGCTGCAGCCACCAGCAGCACAGGGATCTTCCCCAGGTCCCTCATGCACCACGCGCATTACAAGCACATGGCTCAGTGCACACAGGTCCCCAGCGCCCAGACCGGCACCTGCACAATTATACCTGTGCCATTTGCACAGCCTGTCCCCAGGGCCCTGGCTGGACTCACAATGTCCCTGCAGGCAGCAGCAAGGCGCAGTCTGTGCAAAAGCAGGCACGATGAGTTCTAAAAGAGTGCTGTAACTTCCCCAAAGCAGCCAGACATACAAAGTGGGGGCAGTTGCTTCTGCAAATAGTTTAACATATATTTATAAATAGCATCCTGCTTTTTGAATAGATTATTGGGCACGATACATAATGCCCTCATTGGTTACGGCAATAAAGGAATTTGGAGAAGTTCCATAAAGCAATGAGACAGTCATGGGCTGCACTCCTGTCTGGGATGCAGGAGGACAAGCTGGGGAGCGTTGCTTGCACGAGTGACTGGACTCTGCCCCCCCTCCTAGGTCAGGGCAGACCCTCAGGAACTTCACCACGCACAGGGTGAGCAGTGCATTAGTCTGTAGGAACTGTTTTCTGCAGGATGAATCATTTCAGTACAAAGAAGCCAACAGGCAGGGGCAGCTGTGAATGTCACACACCCAGCAGCACACCCACACCTGGAGTTAGATTTTGGCTCCAGAGGGGCCAGCAACCAGAGGATGGTCACTGCGGGGGGGACAGGAGCAGATCTGGGAGTGGGCTGCAGGAGCCCTTTCAGTGCTGGTGCCACCTCGTGTCACAAACCCTACCGCCCGTATCTTCTGGTGCCCAGGCACCTTTACAGAAGCCCAGGTCTCGGGATGAGGACCAGCTTGCTAACAAGGCAGAGAGCTGATGTTTATCAGCCTGGCTGCCTCTGAGAACAAGGAGAGATGCAGAAGCAATGGTGGAGTCCTTGCTGCCCTGCAAGCACAGATGGTTCCTATGCTCCCTGCCACGCAGACTACAAGGGATCACACTCCTCCAGCACCTCCCAGCTCACACCAGACATCCCACTCAGAAGCTGAGCAATACCAGGGGGACATTTTTGTTGAGGAAAAACAAACAAACAAACAAACCATTGCATTTGGTGACATCTTCATGTGCCATGAGTTCCTTCCAGGTTTACCAGAGTAGTTTTAAGAAAACAAAGAAAAAATGTGTTTGAAATTGTAAATCAGCACTTTATTGTAACTGAAACCCTAAAAATGCTTGAATTTGAAACATGAGCATTTTAATGGAATGCTTGTTCCAACAGCCTGTTGTGTATAAGTGTTTATCCATCCTTAATTCACCTTCTGAGATGCTCTGTTCTGCCCTGCCTCATCTCCAGTCACTCACCCAGAGGGACACAGGTGTCTTGTGATTCCCATGTCACAGCTACCAGCCCCATGTGCTGGTCTCAGATGCCCAAGGGCATCTCAGGTGGTGCTGGGCTCCTCCAGTTGAACACGGAGCTGTGCCAACATCTCTACAGGCTGCAGGAGGAGGCTGGACGCACATTTCACATCAGACTTTCACATTTCAGGTTCCCCCACCTGCACCTACCTCACTCCATCATCAGCCATGGATGAACAGCCCAGGACAGGCCACACAAGCTCTGTGTGTGTTCAGCTTCACGAGACCTTAGCAGATGTTCCACCTGACTCCATGAGCATGGCCCAAAGCAGAGACATTTCCCAGCAGCACGGTCCCAAAGCAGCAGCAGCAGCGTTTACCACCAAGGAAATTTGCAGATTCTTGGCCTCATTAAGCAGCACACCTCAGGCCACAGCTGCTGCACGGGGACCCCAGCAAGCCAGTGGCCACCAGCCCCTGGCATCAATCACACCCCTGTGGCCAAAGCTGAGACTGGCTTCTGGAGGGAGGGAAGAGCTAAAGCCCAGCAGCAGACACACAGCCTGCCAGCCACCACCAGAGGCAGCTGCTGCTGCAGGGATTGGCTTTATCAGGGCAGGTCAGACGAGGCACAGCTGCTGGCACCGGCACCATCAGCATGGGGTCAGCCACAGGGAGGACATTTTCCAGCCACAGCCGATCAAGCACCCAGCCTGTCTCCCCAGACCGATCCTCCAACCACGTCTGGAAAGGTGAAGAGAGGAGAAAGGAGAAACAAGATGCAAAATAGCAAGCAGGGATAAAACACAAAGTCTAAATTTGTTACTGGCTGCAGAGCCATGGAATGGGAGGAGGAGGAAAAAGAAATGGGTAGAAAACCCCTCATGGGACATTTTGTAAAGGAAGAATGCTGGGGTCCCTTTATTAATAGGAAACCAATATTAGCAGAAACTGATTGTTATAAATTCTGAGTCAATTTAGCCATATGAGATTTATTTATGGGGTCAATAAAAGAGAAGTAAACAGCGCTGGGTACGTGGGGAGTCTTGGCTCCTCCAACACGCACACACGTTACATCAGGTGGCTGGTTTTTATGCTCCTAGGCTAATACACATTCATTACTACTTCTAGAAGAGGCATGGTTATTATAATTAGTTCCTGGAATCCAAACCCTCTGGCACATGTGTATCAGTCTCCGATAGTCCCTCTAGGGGTCTCTCGTGCTGAAGGCTCGTAGTCTTCCTCCCAGGCTTTGTCCTTGTCCTTCTCCTTTGTCCATCTTGGCTGGATGTCAAAGACTTGCGCAGTGTCCCATGCAAGCTTTGTCTTTTAGTCGTCCTTTAGCTTTCCCCTTCTCCTTAATCTCTTGACTGGATATCAGAGACTTGCATAGTGTCCCGTGCAATAGTCACAATAGTTTGCAGTTGTTCTGAACCCCCCTCAGATATCAGAGATTCAAGGTTTACCCTTCAAGCCCTCTATTGACACAAATTGCTGAAACATTCCTTACATGATCATAAAAGAAGGCATTTGCAAGAGCAATGGAGGAAAACGCTTGATGTGTGATCTACAAACCTGGTAAATACTCGGGCTGCAGCTGGGGTTTGCAGACACTCTGTCTAGACCATCTGCAACAACTCTAAATCCGGGACAAGGTCTGATGCCTGCCAAGCAGCTAATGGGGGCTTCAGTTCAGCTCTGGGGAGATGTAGTTCAGCGCTGTCTCTCTCCAGAACCTGCACTCCTCCTGTACCCTCCCTAATGCAGGCCTCTCTGGCCCCAGGAGCACCCCAGGGGCGGCCTCCCCACCATGGAGCAGAGCAGAAGGATCACATCCTCCAACCTGCTGTTGACATACTTTGCCTAATGCCACCAAGAATACTGTTGGCATTCTTAGCAGCAAAGGCACATCACTGGCCCGTGTTCAACTTGATGTCCACTAGGACCCCAGGCCTAGTGGACAACTCTACTTCTGTAGAGTTGCTTCCCAGCTGAGAGGTTGGCAAGAAACCCAGCTGTGGTGCCTAGGAGTACACGGTGCCTGCGCTGAATCCAGTGGAGACCCACAGAGGTGGTGGTGCCCAGGCAGTAGCTCAGCCACTGGACACCAAGGATCTCAGGTGAGCCGAGGTGATTTCCAGGCTGCACGGACAATCTAGTCTGGATCTGTGATCCAGATGGTGAACATGCAGACACCGGTGACAAACCCGTCTTCAAGATGATGGAGCAGAGGTAGATGGGGTGGCTTTGAGAATGGGATGGCAGTGGCCAGGATGGGGTCTCTGCTGGACACCCCACTGAACATCTGAAGCATGTCCAGCAGGTGCAGCTCCAGGTCACCTCCTTGTGGCAGCCATCTCGCAGCAGAGATGGGGTGATTCAGGACGTGGGTGCATTGGTACAGATCTGTTTGTTTTTTATTATTTATTTATTTTAACATATCTATCATATTTAGGAACTATTTCAAATTAAATTTTCTTCTGACCAAAGCCGGAAGGGTATTAACATCTTATATGGGTTCTTTTGAATAAATAATGTCTCTCTATTAAAGACACAGCATCATGCACATCACTTTTTTGGCATGGGGGCTAGCTGCCTCCTTTCATAGTTATGGGGGAGAAATAGGCATCACCAAGGTGTTTTTTTTGTCCCATCTTACGATGCATGGCATTGACCTGGTAAGCTCCTGACAGTGTCTGACTCTCCCCTGCATAAGGAAGTTACCTATATGCAACTAGATAGCTATCTTTTAGAAGCTTGAGGTATTTGGCCCTGAACAAGCAAGTTTTTTCCCAAAATCTTGGTTTCTTTTATTATTTCTAGTATAGTTTGTTGCCAGGAAAATGAGAGTACAGCAGCTGCCAGCCTGTGGTGCAGAAACCTCCCAAGCTGTCTGTCTCATCCCAAGTCCAGTTCATAGATGTTGGTGGATCTATCTACTACGGCCGTGTTTGTTCCTGTTTTCAGCTGTTTTTTCAAGCTGGTAAGTTTTAGGGCCTGCTGAAGGTGCATTCAGCTGCCACTGTGTAAGTTAGTCCCCACAGTAAGCCAGAGGAAGAGCCACTCTAGAAGTCAGAAGCTGAGCACAGCTGGGTTGGACTCTCAGCATCCCCGGACAAGGGAAACTTCCAGGGGAATACGAGATGGCACGTGGTGCAAGAGAAAAAAAGTCTCAAAAAGAGAGCATATTTGCATTGTTCCCAGGTTTATCTTTCTAACCACATTCCCATTCTAAAAATTGAGACCTTCACTTTCACTGGGCTGGAATTAATGCATTTTGCCCTTCAAGATTGCTCTGTGACCCAAAGCGAACATGGCAGTTACAGACCGTATTGCTCCTCCCGGAGCAATGAAGCCCAATTGTTTTGCATATGGAATACTGAGATTTGGGTCATATGCAATAACCTGAGCACTCAGCATAATCGGCTGTGGCAGACAGACTGCGGGCTGCCAATGCTGGTTGCCAGAACCAGGGGAAACTTTCCCTGCTAGGCATTACAGCCATCAAGAAACAAGCAGTACTGAAGCAAACCAATCTGATGAGAAAAATAGAAGAAGCACTAGATAGTGAGATCATGTCTAAGATAGTGAGGTCAGTTTTCTGAAAAATTTCCTTGAGTACAGAAAACCTGCTTTCGACCATATTTCAAATTGAATGCTTAAGTGTTTTTGCCTCTCCTTCCAGGCACAATATACAGCTGAAGGATGATCCATTTCCAAACGGTCAGCATGATGTTGGGTTTTATTATACAACTTATCCCATAATTACCCAGGTTCTGGGAAGTAAACCCTTACAGGTCCCCACAGAAATTTATTGCTGACCTCCACAGTGCCCCTGACCAGATCAAGGTGACTCACGCATTAGAAAAAGATAGCTTCCACATCAGTAATTATTTCATCTTCATTCATCAGAAGGACACAGTTTTGCTATTGGGAGCAAAGTATTAAGTATTATAAAATGGTCACTTATTTTTTTGAAAAGCTAATCACTTTAATGCCAGGCCATTTTTACCTCCAGCAAACAACAACCATTAATGACGCATTTTCTGAAAAATGTGTTTTTATCAGATGTTAGCTTGCTGACCCTGCCTTTTATTTGAGAAGAGAGCTAATTTCTTTTATGAGCCAAAAGGATGTAGTTGGAGGACAAGCTTTCAGAAGGGCCTTCTTTCTATGAAATGTGCTGATTTAAATAACAGCCTCTGATCACACGTGACTACCACCCATTTCTGCCTTACCATTTGAGCTTCCAGGGGTCCTCGTAGCTCCAGGGACCAGGAGAGACGTGACCTTCACAGTAACATCCTCTGTGTGCATCCAAGCTCCAAGGAGGTGCACAGCAAGAACACTTCTGCTCACAGTCAGGGTGATCCTCAGACCTGAGCCTTGTAGGACCCAACACCTGGCTTCAAAACAGAATGTTCAAGAAAAATAAATATACCTTTATTTTTAGTACCTGAGAAATGTAGTCTACACTACAATTTTTTGATGAAAATACAGGAAGGCCAAGAATGATGGTAGGTCTTTGCCAAAATCCCAGTATTTATTATTACTAAAATAATACCAATGAGTTCAAACCTCATATTATTGGTTAGTAAAGATCATTACATCACTAGACAAAAGACATTCTATGCACACATAAGGAATATCAAAATACATTTATAACAAACGAGGTGTGCAGGACATTGATACAAAATATGTTTGATGTGAAAGTTTAGATAGAAACACAAGAAGTAGGAATGGAAGGAACCACAAGAGATTTTGTAGTCCACCTGCCACACTAAAAGACAGCAGCTTACCCAAACCATCCCAGAAGGATATTAAGTTAATCTGTTCTAACGCTGCTGGATGGCACCTTCATATCTCTCAAAAAGATCTTGTACATAAAAGGAGCCCTCACAGTTTATGTTCAGTGCCCTTTTGATTATTTTATGCTCTACTTTTACTAGCAGGTCTTCACGATTCCTTACATAAGGTGCCCCAAATGCACTTTTGGGGCTGAAAAGGGCAGGTTACTCCATGTGATCTGGGTGCAAAACTCGTATTCATTCTTTCTGGCATGGTGTTCACTTTGGATTTTGTTTTCATGTTTATTTTTAAAGCCCATGACATTGCTGACTAATGCTTGCTTCCCAACTCTGATATTTCTTGTCATCTTTGGTATTTCCCAAAGTTTTCTTGTAGATATACTACCTGCCCTATTTTTATTTAGAAATAAAATTAAAAAAAAAAAAAAGAAACACACTAAAATAAAATCTGTGGATTAAACCTCCCCTCACCAGGGGAGGTTTCCGTTGGAAATTAGAAGACATTTTTTCTCAGTAAGAGTAGTCAGGTGTTAGAATGGGTCACCCAGGAAAGTGGTAGAGTCACCGTCCCTGGAGGCATTCAAGAAAAACTTGACTTTGACTCCCCCCCCTCCCCCCCCCAGAGTTCTGCCCTCATTTTGTAGTAGTTTCACTGAGATTATTCTCCCTTTTCTCATTGCTGAATATATTATGTGAAATGAGTCAAAAGCATAATTAGTCAAGGCAGATTTAATCACAGAATAGTCTAGGTTGGAA